CTGCTGCTCTTTCTGACCAACTTGTCGTTTGCATCGTGGTTCTTCTTCATTGCCATGATCGCGCCCGACTTGCACGTTGCCAAGCCGGTGGCGATGTTGTCGATCTTGTTCTACATCTTGTTTGCGGGCTTTGTCATCTCGCCCTCGATCATGCCCGACTACTTTATCTGGATCTACTGGATCAACCCGCTCAGCTGGTGCTTGCGTGCCCTCTCGATCAACCAGTACTCGTCGGGCGAGTTCCAAGTGCCGATCTACAAGGGCGTCAACTACATGAAGCTCAAGGGCGACACCATGGGCAACGTCATGCTCAAGACGTTTGGTCTCCAGACGGACACGATCTGGATCTGGTATGGCGCCATTTACCTCGCCGCCATCTATGTCCTCTTCCTCGGCCTCGCGTACCTCGCGCTCGAGTACAAGCGCTACGACGCGCCCGAGAACGTCTCGGTGACGGTCGAAGCAGAGGATGAAGAAGATGCCGGTGACGGGTACGTCAAAGCGCCCAAGACACCGACAGACATTGGCAATGTGACCGATGACGTTGCCGTACATGTCGCCGGCTCAAGTTCGTTGTCGCCCTCCGTCGTCATGGCCTTTAAGGACCTCTGGTACTCGGTGCCCAACCCGACCAAGGGCGAGCCCGACCTCCAGCTGCTCAAGGGCATCAACGGCTACGCTCTTCCCGGTACGATCACGGCGCTCATGGGCTCGTCCGGCGCGGGCAAGACCACCTTGATGGATGTCATTGCCGGTCGCAAGACGGGCGGCAAGATCGAAGGCAACATTCTCCTCAACGGGTACCCGGCCACGGACCTCGCGATGCGCCGTGCGACGGGCTACTGCGAGCAGATGGACATCCACAGCGAGAGCGCGACGTTCCGCGAGGCGTTCCAGTTCAGCGCGATGCTCCGCCAGTCGGACGAGATCCCGACCGAAGAGAAGATGGCGTTTGCGGAAGAGTGCTTGGAGCTCCTTGACATGAAGAACCTCGGCGACAAGATCATTCGTGGCGCCTCGGTCGAGCAGATGAAGCGTCTGACGATCGGTGTCGAGCTCGCAGCGGCGCCAACGATGCTCTTCCTCGACGAGCCGACGTCCGGTCTTGACGCTCGCTCGGCCAAGATCATCATGACGGGCATTCGCAAGATCGCGTCGACGGGCCGCACGGTCGTCTGCACGATCCACCAGCCGTCGACCGAAGTGTTTGAGATGTTTGACTCGCTCCTCCTCCTCAAGCGCGGTGGCGAGACCGTCTTCTTTGGCGACCTCGGTACGCACGCCATCAACATGATCAACTACTTCAAGTCGATTCCCAACACGCCGCCACTCATCGAGGGCGCCAACCCGGCGACATGGATGCTCGAGGTCATTGGCGCGGGTGTCGAGGCCAAGCACACGGACCTCCCGCCCAACGACTATGTCCGCATCTTCAACGACTCGTCTGAGCGCTCGTACATGGACAAGGAGCTCGTCCACCATAAGCAGCCGCACCCGACGTTGCCCGAGCTCACGTTTGCCAACAAGCGCGCGGCGTCGTCGTCGACGCAGTTCAAGATGGTCACACAGCGCTTCTTCCGCATGTACTGGCGCACGCCCACCTACAACTTCACTCGTGGCATGATGTCACTCGTGCTCGCCATCCTCTTTGGTCTCGTATACCGTGGTGTCGACTACACGACGTACATTGGCGCGACCGGTGGCGTCGGCATGGTGTTCATGACGTCGCTCTTTGTCGGTTTGATCTCGTTCAACAGTGTCCTCCCGCTCGCCTCGGAGGAGCGCAACTCGTTCTACCGCGAGCGCGCTTCGCAGACGTACAACGCGCTCTGGTACTTTGTCGGCTCGACGCTCGTGGAGATCCCATACTGCGTGGTCTCGACCTTCGTCTTCACGATCATCTACTACCCGTTCGTCGGTTTGAACGAGTCGGTCGGCGCGTGTCTCTTCTACGGCCTCAACCTCTCGCTCCTCGTCTTGATGAACGTCTACTTTGGCCAGCTCATGTCGTACTGCATGCCCCGCGTCGACGTCGCCGCGCTCATGGGCGTCCTCCTCAACTCGATCTTCTTCCTCTTCATGGGCTACAACCCGCCCGCGTCGCAGATCCCGTCGGGCTATCGCTGGCTGTACCACATCACGCCGCCCAAGTACTCGGTCGCGCTTCTCGTCGCTGAGACGTTTGCCAAGTGCACGGACGGTACCCAGCTCGGTTGCCAGATCATGCCTGAAGACGGCGTCCCCCCGAGCCTCTTTGCCGAGTTTGGCACCAAGAAGATTCGCGTCAAGGACTACGTCGAGAAGGTCTACGAGATGAACTACGACGACCGGTGGTCCAACTTTTTCGCGGTCATCGGCTTCATTTTGCTCTGGCGCATCCTCGCGCTCCTCGCGCTGCGCTACATCAACCACCAAAAGAGATAAGCAGTGACTGCTCGTGAATACATTTATCCTGTACGTGATTTCCACGGTGTGTACGGTGCCATCACCACGCCAAAGAGGCGCTACGCAAGCAAATTAGATCACGTTGGGAAGTTCAATGTCTATGGATCCATTTAAAGCGCCGCTTCCTCAAACGCGACTTTGAACACGTCGTCGTAGACCTTAGCAAAGTGCACGTCAAGACCTTCCTTGAGGTAGTCGGGCAGCTCATCGTGGTCCTTGCGGTTGCCCGCTGGAAGCACGATCGTCGTCACATCGGCACGTCGAGCCGCGATCACCTTCTCCTTGATACCGCCCACCGGCAACACTTTGCCCGTCAACGAGAGCTCGCCCGTCATAGCAAGATTGGATTTCACAGGCCTACGTGCATCGTTATAAGACTCTTGTCGCACGATTCTTGGTAAGCATACTTGTTCATCGCGAGCGAGAGGAGGGCCGTCACCATGGTGCATCCTGCCGACGGACCGTCCTTGGGCGTCGCCCCTTCCGGCACGTGCAAGTGCAGATCGGCTTCAAAGAAGGTGTTCTCGGGTTCCACCTAAGGCGCAGTCAATGTTGTGAGGATATGGGCGACATATGTGGTGGTAGTCGCGCACCTGCTCGAGCTTGTGGCGGGCATAGGTGTGTGCAATCCGCGTGCTCTCTTCCATGACGCTGCCCATTTGACCCGTCGTGACAAGCGAGCCCTTGCCGCCTAGAGGACTCATATGTGGGCAACCAAGCAGTCAAGCGGACGACGCACCCTTGGTTTGCACCGTTGTGGTTTCGATGTACAGCGACGAGCCACCCATGGCAGTCCACGCCAGACCCATGACAACACCAGGCTGTAACGCTTCGTACATGCGCTCCCTAGAAGAGAAATGGTTTGTGAGACCTCGTGCCTCGAGCAAAGTATGGATCGTACGAGGTAAATCGGGGCTGGCCCACATATTTCTGGAGGCCATCGGGTGTGATGCAATAGTCTTTTACGTCCTTCTCGTCCTTGGCCATGTTTTCGACCACCTCAAGCGCGACCTTGCGGAAAATCTTTTCAATGTGCTGCTCAAGGTTGCGCACGCCAGCTTCCCGGCAGTACCTACACATCAAACATAAGCCACGCGGTCCGTGCAAATATTTTTGTTTCGCACCGCTTGACAAGATCCATAATGGTATCGTCCGTGAGCGACAACGACGCCGGGGCATGCTCGCTCTTCAAGCCACTCTTCTCGAGCGTCTTGGGTACGAGATATTGCTTGGCAATGGCAACCTTCTCGGGGGCGTCGTATCCCGAAAGTCGGATGACTTCCATACGATCGAGGAGCGGACCCGGGATCGTGTCGGTGACGTTGGCAGTGCACACAAAGAGGACCCGAGACAAATCCACGGGCACGTCCAAGTAGTGGTCGACAAACGACGTGTTTTGCGACGGGTCAAGAAGCTCGAGGAGCGCCGAGGCAGGATCGCCAGTGTGGCCGCGACCGAGTTTGTCGATTTCATCAATGAGGATGAGCGGGTTGGAGCTCTGCGTCGTCTTGAGACACTGGATAACCTTGCCCGGCATCGCGCCAACGTACGTCCGGCGATGGCCCTTGATCTCGGCTACGTCACTAAGACCGCCGACCGAGAAACGGTAGAACTCGCGGTTCAACGACGAAGCAATCGACTTGCCGATGCTAGTTTTGCCGACACCTGGCGGGCCCACGAGGCAAATGATGCGCCCTTGGACTTGGCCTACGTATGCATATTGGTGAACACAATAATTGAGGAAGAAACAAGTGGTACCGAGGAGTTTGGAAACAGCGATGAACTCGAGGATACGCTGCTTGACGTCGCCAAGACCATAGTGGTCCGCGTCCAAGATCGCCTTGGCCGCCACAATGTCAAAGTTCTCGGTCGTTGACTTGCCCCACGGCAGAAGCGTGAGCCAGTCGAGGTAGTTGCGCGTGACGTTGAACTCGGACGAGTTCTTTTCGAGCATCGAGAGCTTGTTCATTTCGTCGTCGATGACTTCAAGGACGGCGTCGGGAATGTGGCTTTGGCGCTCCGTGTTGCTATCGGTCTCGGCCGTCCCTTCGCCGGCTTCCGGAAGCGGCACCAAGAATGCGTCGAGGCGCTGGCGGAACTTGGAGAGCATCGCATCCTTGTCGTCCTTCTCCATGCCGAGCTCCTTCTTGATCGTCTTGAGCTGCTCCATGAGAAGGTACTGGCGCTGGTTCTTGGACACTTTCTCTTCCACTTGCTCCTTGATCGACTGCTGGACGCGCGAGAGCTCTGTTTCCTTGGTCACGAGCTCGAGCGCCTTCTGCAAACGACGCTCGCAGTCCATCTCTTCCAAGACGCTCTGGAGCTCTTCCGCATCAGCCGTCGTGATCTACGCGTCCTGAGCATTGCATGTAATGAGGAAGAAGCAACATACCGACGCCGCAAAATCCGCCAACAAGAACGGGTTGTTGATGTCGATGCGCTGGCTAAAGTACTGGATGTGCTCCTTGAAGAGCGGGTTGAGCTTCACGATCTCACGGAGCGTCGCGACGATTTCATTCGAGTAGGCCTTGATCATCTTGTTCTTCTTGTCGTACGACGGGTTCGTCAGCGGCGAGATGGCCACGCGGAGCGGGTTGACGCCGCTATCATATCTATGAGGTGGCATGCATTTCGGCGATGTTGCATGTACCTGTCGTGGATCCCGTCGATCGTAATCCGGCGCTGCCCCGTCAGCAGAATTTGCATCGCATGGTTGTTCTCAAAGCCAATCATGTTGTCGATACGCGCATAGTTGCCCACATGATGAATGTTATCGAGGGTCGTGACCAAGTCCTCGCCTTGCTGGTTCGCCAGGCCCGTGTATCCCATCTCTTCCTATGCACCGCGAGAGATCCATGCCAAGTTCCATTCGTAGCATCGTCGTCCTACCTTGGAGGCAGCCTTGGCCGCGTCCTTCTTGAGGAAGACACCCACGTACTTTTGGCCGCTGTCACGCAGCGCTTGGAGCGCCTTGGACACCTCGGGGTTCGTGATCGTCATGGGCAGGATCACGCCGGGAAAGAGCGGGCGCTTGTGCGTCGGGAGCACGAGCACGTGGGGTACCAAGGGCGCGTTCTCACCCTCTCCCACTGGCGCGATCGTCTTCGACGACGACTTGGTTGTCCCATCGACCACGTCGTCCTCGTCGCCCTCATCGTCCTCGTCGTCCCCTACGAGTTGCATGTCGTTGGAACGCCCATGGTTCCATGGACGCGTACCTCGGTGATCGCAGAACCCGCGCATCCACAGGGCCGATGTCGATGGAGCGAATGGACGCCGGTAGGCCGTCGTCAAGCGCGACCCCAAGCATCGCTTCACCCCCGCGGCCAGCATCGTACTATTGGGATTGTTCTCGAAGTTGATGAATTCGAGTGAAACCAGAATAACTGTGGTGGAGCGTCGTTGGAATCGCATGGTATTTGAAATCAAAGATAACGCCATTGTCTTCTTATTTGTATGTTACATTGATCTCATCGTATTTAAATACGCCGCGTTTGGAGGCAAACGAGCTCTGCGACACACGATTGGCTCTTTTTTAGCCAATCGCATGCATTATAAACGCGTGAAATTGGCGCGCGATCCAGCGATCGTCGAGCACTGCAGTAGCCTTCATCGCATGCAATGGCACGAAGGGCTACGAAGGCCAGAGCTCGGTGCTCCTGCAGAGAGGTCTACCAGGCAGTATTGCAGCGACGCCACAGACAGTGGGACCATAGGATACTCGGGATCTTGATGTGCGGTGCAGCGACCCTTGATGATGGGTGATTGCAGCCAAGCATCTCACGGCCTGCCGCCATGCTAACCATAGGTGCTGGTCGTTGCTTGCTTCTTCACGGAGGTCAATAGATGCAAAAAGGGCTTTGAAAGGGCCATATATAATTAAGAACCTACTACTTCTAACGCGACCGCGGACGGGACTTTACACAAAGATTCACTCCATGTCGAGGTTGAAACGAATCGGCGCCACGTCGGCGACCGACGCGAGACGCTCCTTGATGGGCGTGTCGTCGTAGCACGAGACAGTCATCTCGCTTTCGCAGTCGCTGTCGGTTTGGTCGAATTCAACACCCATCGAGCAATCTTTTTCCGCCGCCATTGCCTAGGCGCATGCATGAGTCATGATGTCAATCCTCGTGCCAAGGTACCTGGACAGCGAGTTGCATGGTAGGCAGCTTTTGGAGCAGCATCGTAATGACGTTCTGCGCAAAGTGCTGGAGCGAAGTCGCGTCGTTGTGCACTTGCATGTCCCACGGGAACGAGTTGTAGAACGCGAGGCAGTCCTCCATCTTGGAGCGCTTGTGCTCGGCGTAGCGCACGCGTTCGGGCTCGAGCTGGAGGCGGTGCTGGATGCGGCTCCAGAGAAGCTCCTTCTCGACGTTCACATGCACGGTAAGGAACTGAACGTTGGCAAAGTCGGCAACCTCCTTCATTTGCGCACGGATGACTTGGTCGAGGAGGTGGCCATGCGTCGCGTAAAAGACAGCGCTGAATGGCGAGCGGTCGGCGAAGAAGACCTGGTTCTTATTGCGGTCGTGGCGCGCCAGCGTCAAGACGCGGTCAAACCTATCGGCGCCGCACATGAGTCATGTTATATTCGCGCGGCCAAGTCAACGTACCAGGCGCAGACCCACTTGGTCTCCATAAAGAGCGACTGCGGATGCAGCGAATGCGCAGGCATGTCGAGGAAGTTTTCGTCGAGGACGCGGAAGCCCATGTTGCTCACTTCCTTGCAGAGCGACGTCTTGCCGCTACCTGTGGGCCATAGCACATGTCCATGAGCCATCGGTTCCTGTGCCATGGCGACCGCGCACCGTGGCAGCCTTCGAAGCAGATGACGAGCATGGTCGGTGGTGGGCCAATCGGGAAATGACCGACTTCGCCACCTCGCCGGTCGATTCGAATTTTCAAGCGTTCAAACGGCCCGCGCCGCGGCGATGGCAATCCAAGCCGGCGCGCAATCTACCTCGCTCTTTGTATGCAATAAAATAAATCCAACGGCTAATGAACCGGGCTTCGTAACCGTTCGGTTCAAATGGGCCAGTTCTGAAACCGCGGCCCAAAGCGCGCGGGCGTCGGCCATCGCGGTCTTGCGCGGGCTTTCTTTTGCACCAATGAGCGACGCTTCCGCCATGACACAGGCTATGGATTGGTTTAAATTACGTCCAGTCAGCGACCAGAAGACCTCGGATTGGCTGCGGTCCCGCGAGTGGACACCAACCTGTGCGGGAGAGTGTTTAAATTTCCCGCGCGAAGCATAGCAAGGCAGCATGTGCAACAGCCAAACTCAACAAATGGAAGCGCCAACCCAAGATCGAAGCCCCGCCTATGCGATAAGATTCGCCCAACGCCTTACTACCTACATTTACGCACAGAGAATGGCTCATGGAATCGACCAGGCATAGGGCATGGACAAATGGTGTGCCTACATGTACTAAATGTCGGTGCGAAACGAACGACGGACTGAGCTCAGTCATGTGGTCACGGCTGCATTCGAGAGGTCATGGTATTGCATCTTGTCGACGTTAGAGCCAACGACAGAAGTGAAGGAAACAAGATTCCTTTGGGACAATGATAGCCTCGATGGGAGCCCGTTGGCAACGCAAGCGGCGCTGCATGATCCTGCGCCACGTGGTATTAGCTGTGAGCTGGTCGGGCAGGCAATAGACATATCCATTCACCGAGACTGTCAAGCGAAAGACTCAGGATGCGATCGCATTCAGCATTCATGGCGGTCAATCCATCGACGGACGTGCTGCCACGTCATTCGAACGCAAGGCGCTTGTATGGTACACTGTACCTACATGTATTCTAACCTGTCAATGAATAAAGCGCCAAGCAGAGCGCGACGCGGACGGTGGCGCCGCGCTACTGACCACGATATTCTCCACCTGGACACCACCACAGCCACTGCGCACAACAACCACAGCGGGCGCATCTTCAAGTAACATACCTCGCATTCGTCAGGAAGAGCTGAAGAGCATGTCCACTTGTCGAGAATCCTCAAGAAGGATGTTGTCTCCCACAACCACACAATGATATGCTTTCCAGTAGCACCTTGAGTGGTTGTTGGGTGCCAATATCTTGTGCGTCTGCAACAATCCAACCCCAATATATTCAAAAGCACACAAGCAGCAGTGCTGTGTGGTTGAGTTCGTCCCACAGGAACAACAAACATCTACACGCGCAGTCGCAATTCACTTTTTTCAAGCTACAGGCTCCCTTGTACAGCGTTGTGGTGCGATCGTCACCTGGCATCAATTCGCAGGGACACGCGACCGATCTCTTCAAGCAGAGGTTCATTATTCAAAATGCAAACAATCAGCCCCGTGACCGAGACGACGCACCTCACCGCTCCCAAGCTGCTGGACGACAATGCAGCGGTCGCCATGGTTGCCGAGCGCCCGGAGCTCACGTGGGAGATTGTGTGGGCCAAAACTGACGTGAGCGCCCATGTCCGGCGGCACTTGCTTCGCGTCTACATGACGCTTGGATGCATGCTTCTCTTTGCCGCTTTGGGAGTCGTGCTCGACTTGATCTGGCCTGTGCACCCCGCCATCACGGGCCTTGCGATCGCGATGCCACTGATGCTCCTCATCGCCTACACGTCGCCCGAGTTGGTCGTTCTCCGCGTAAGTGGTGCCATGCTGCTCGCCACTGCGCTCGGCGCCAGCATTGGCGGCACGGTCCAACATGCGCTGTCCGTCGACTCGTCCCTTGTCGGCGTCGCCTTGTACACTCTTTGGATATATACCGCATGGGTAATCACGGACTTGTGTCTTGTAGTGGCTGCACGATGCTCATCTTTGTCGTTATGAGTTTGTGCGCTTACTGCGGTGCGCCCCAAATCTGTGCATCGCGCAAGCTCATGCAAATATGGTGTAGCGACGCGCCGCAGTGCGCTCTTCCTTTATGGCTTTCTCGTCTCGGCGCTGCTCGTGCTTTTGGCCGTCGGCATTGCCAACATATTTATCCAGTCCAAGCTGCTCGTCTGGCTCGGTTTGGTACGTCTCGGGCCCTGTACTCAGACTCATTTTTGTTTCGTAGTATGTGGGCCTTGTGCTCTTCTCCATCTTTGTGATTGTCGATACGCAGCTCATCATTGAGCGCATCATGTTTGGCGAAGACGACTTTGTCGAGCATGCGCTCGACCTCTTCACGGGTACGTCGCCATTTTCTTATTGAACACAAGACGACTAAGATACTCTGCGTAGATATTGTCGGTATTTTCGTGCGCCTGTTGACACTCCTCTCGAGCGACGACGATGACGACGATGACGACGACGAATAGAACCCAAAGGACAAGGCAGGGTAGACTCTCGGGATCTATGATAAATACATTGCGTCGAAATAGTTTTGGATCGACCTTGCTCTGATGGCGGAGTGGTCGCGTATGGACTGGTGGTGCATGAAACAGCGTCGTCGATAACTCTACTAGCGTCACGGCCCAACAACGCCCTTCTTTGGTTGGCCTTTCCGTTGGGCAAACTTGCTTCAGGATCGACCGCCTCGCCGCCACTCTCGGTACAGCATGCATTGACAAGAAGACGAAGGACTTACGCCTGAATTTTTTGTGCGGAGAATCCTATTAGTGAAAACCTCAAAATTGGGTTTAGTTAGTTATTGTGAGGAAAATCGAGGTTTGGGGTAAATTCGCGAGGTGTGTTGTTTTGAGGTTTACGGTAAGACTGCGGATCTCGCAATCTGGCAACAAGGGTATACAAGAGATGCTATACCACGCTATACCCTTGCTACTGGTAGCAACAACAACACATATACACGTGTGTACATTCATTTCCCAAAATTCAGGCAGCCGTACCATCTGATTGGTCGTTGCGGAATGCAGGTCAACAATCGGGTTCATCGGTTGTGAGCTCGTAGTGTTTTCGCAACAATCGGCACTTTTCAGAAACAACAATCGGCACTCTTCAGAAACCCGAGCTATGACGCGTGTGGAAAGGTCGAGAAGCTTGGATAGCGGCGCTGAGCAAGCAAGCGGCAAGAAGGAAGGAATGCCTGTCACAGCGACGCCTCTCGGTCCCGCCGTGAGCATGGGCACGGGGCGCCCGCAGCTCACGTGGGATCTCGTGTTTGAGATGAGCGACGTGAGCGGGCACGTGCGTCGCCACTTGCTTCGCGTCTACACAACCCTTGGACTTATGGTACTCTTTGCCGCTATTGGCGTCCTCCTCGACTTGCGCTGGCCCGTACATCCGGCCATCACGGGGCTCGTCATCGGGTTGCCACTTTTGTTTGCCATCATGTGCACGCCGCCCGCGCGGCTCGCCTTTCGCCTGACATGTGCGATGCTCCTAGCCACCTCCATGGGCGCCAGCATCGGCAACTCAGTGCAGCACGCCCTCGCCATCGACCCGGCCCTCATCGGTCTCGCCTTGTACCATCCTCTCTCCTCTTGGCCGATGCACTCACTCTTGTCTAGTGGCTGCACAACGTTGATTTTTGTCACGATGAGTCTCTGCGCTTATTTCGGTGCGTGGCACCAGTGACTATGTGGTACTATCGCATTTGTGCTACATTAGCCACGCACCGGGCCTCGTTCTTCCTCTACGGGTTCCTCTCGTCAGCATTGCTGCCGCTGATTGTCCTCAGTGTCGCCGCCGACTTTATCCACTCGCCCTTCCTCGTCTATGTCAGCCTCGTACGTCGCTACTTCATGGATGTTTCAACGGTATTCAAGATGGGAGTAGTATGCCGGTCTTTTGCTCTTCTCGCTCTTCATCATCGTCGACACCCAGCTCATGATTGAGCGTGCCATCTGCGGCGAAGACGACTTTGTGTGGCATGCGCTCGACCTCTTCCTCGGTACAGTTGCGATATCGTGGTCCATGGAGCCGCTCATGAACACATGAGTAGATGTCATCAACATTTTCGTGCGCATTTTGGCCATTTTCAACGTCACGAACGACGACTAACCGTGTAATCCCAAGGGACTCGATCCATACTTGCTCAACACCCAACGCAGACTCGCAAGAAGCGCGGATGCCTCGTTTCCACACAACTAAAATCGTGTCATATAGTCTGTTTGTCTTACGTGGCAAACCGGGCCCGCAGCGCCCGCGAGTAGTTGAGCCCGCCGGGGTTGGTCGCGGCCATCAAGCGCGCGTACTCGTGGCTCACGCGCAGCGCATACTGCTCGGGCGACTCGCCTTTCTCTTGGTGCAATGGCTTGCCAAAGATCACGGACGCCTTGACCGGCATTGGAAGCACGGGCAGCATCGCAGTCCACATCCATGTCCACATTTTGATTTGGAGAAAGAGCCAGCCAATGTAGCCTGGGAGCGCGATCAAGTAGTCGTACAACTTGGAGAGGTACGTGATGTTGAGGAGGAAGAAGAGCGGGTTGAACACCATCTCTTGCATGTTTTCAACCACGACTGGGATGATGACGGCGTCGGCTTCGATCGCGAGCTCGGCAAACCCTTTGCGCAAGTGACCCTTGGACGACTGCCTACAACAAACCTCATACGAGACTCGGCACCAACACAGCACTCGTACCAGTTGACGGTATACGCATTCTCGTGGCCCATGAGGGCTTCCTCAGCACCACCCGGAATAACCATGCACGCGCGGTGGCCACGCTCGTAGGCCGCGAGCGCATTGGCGCGCGTGCCCTGGATACAGCCAAAGGCCTTGAGCCATGGGCAGCACGTCACGAGCGTCCGATGCATGAGCCCGACAGGCACTTCGTCCATGATCTGGCGCACCGACATGCCTGTGAGCGTGATGTCCCAGTTGTGGTTCGAGTGGTAGCCAACAAAGAGAATGCGAGCGTCCTTTTTCGTCGGGATGTTCTCGGCGCCTACAGATCGCCAAACATGGCGTCGACTTGGGATGGAGGATCGCGCGTACCGATGATGGTCCAGGCGTAAAAGGAGACGAAGAGCGGGTAAATATGGCGGTACACAAAGGCGTACACAGGGTTCTTGGTCACGTCGTGGTAGAGCGGGCGGTCGATGGCGTCGACCATCGCGAAGTCCTCGGTCGCGGCGAAATTGCACTTTGACGCCCTTCGCCCTACAAACTTCAAGTGCAAACTGGGACATGCCGGGTTATAAAGCAGCGATCTTTTGGTTGCGACTCGTTAATCGAGTTCCTGGAGCAATCAGCGGACAGACACGCGTCGTCGATCGCAGCCTTCGTCCCAAGTGCCGTCCATGGCAACGACAACAACGACGAGTGCACTTCATCGAATGCCTTTGCTTCGGCAGCTTAGTGTACACTTGGTGCTGAAGGGCTATACAGTGAATGCTGTACGTGGCAGTCTCCTACTATGCAGCCAATTTCGAGAAAGGCCGCTGTGGTAGCCTTTCTACAGTGACGGCGTGAGGATGAGGTGGTCTTACGCTTTGAACGTCCCTGGAGCGCATGCGGCTTCCGCCAGCTGAAGGCGCCACGCCGCTGTGGCTACTCGTTGCTGCTAACGCTGACCGGATCGCACTGTCGTGTCGACAGGAGGCGCGGTTGCGTATCTTTTCACACGATTTCATCTTTTTCTAAATAGTATAGTCTAGAAATCATGTATAAATAGTGTCATACAAAATATACTGTTCTGGGTGGCAGTCGACCATGCTGCCGAGCTTTGTTCGGACCTTCTCGGTAGGACGACGATGGCGATGGCGATGGCGTCTCATGGGCGTGGCGTAGAGAGCGAGCACGATGGCGACGACCGATGGCTCGATCTTCAGCGCGATCCAGACCAAGCTGGCCGCGGCCTTTGCGCCCACGCATCTCCAAGTGCTCAACGAGAGCTACATGCACAACGTGCCAAAGGGCTCTGAGACGCACTTCAAGGTCAGCGCTTCATCCAACGATAGGCGCGCTCACCATATACGTATGTAGGTGATTGTGGTCTCGGACCACTTTGAGGGCAAGCCGCTCCTCCAGCGCCATCGCATGGTCAACGCCGTCTTGGACGACGAGCTCACGAAGGGCGGCGTCCACGCGCTCTCGATCCAGAGCAAGACGCCGTCGCAGTGGGAGGCCAACAGCACTGTGCGCCCATCGCCGACGTGCCAGGGCGGCATGAAGCACGAGAAGAAGACGCCGTAAGACACGATACAGGCAATATGACGTGCTTTCAAATGTAAAGCTATCTCGACTGTCTCGACGCGCCGCGACGCCGGCGGAACCGATCGCCGAGAGCTCGTGCATAGTCGAGGCCGCCCGGGTTGGCGCGCGCGAGAAGCTGGGCGTATTTGCGTTCAACGCGCTTGGCAAAAGCAACTGCCGACTCATGCTTCCGCGGCTTGAGCGCTGGCCCAAAGCGCAGCGTGGTCCGCACCGGCAGCGGAATGCTCGTGCCGCAGTTGAGCGTCAGCCAGAGCACGCCCTTGATCTGCCAGAAGGTCCAGCCAATGCCGTACGGCAGGCGCATGAGGTAGTTGTACGCATGCGAGAGGCGCGTGATGTTGCAGAGGAAGAAGATCGGGTTGAAGCACATTTCTTGCTGGTTCTGGATGACAATGGGCACGACCACGGCGTTGGCAGCGATGGCGAGCTTGGCAAACCCGGTCCGCGGTCGCCCCGACGTCGACTTCCTACGCCGATGTGATATTGCTGTGTCGTACGCGATTGCGGCATGTACCAGTCGACCTTGTACGCATTTTCAAAGCCAGCGACAGCCTCTTCGGCGCCACCTGGCAGGACAATGCACGCGCGGTGGCCCTGCTCGTACGCGGCGAGAGCGTTGGCCGTGGTCCCAGGAATGCAGCCCATGCGGCGCAGCCACGGGTGGAACATCATGATCGTTCGGTGCAAGAGCCCAATGGGCGCTTCGCCAATCGCGTCCTTGATCGCCATGCTCATCATCATGATGTCCCAGTTGTGGTCCGAGTGGTAGCCCACAAAGAGCATGCGGCGCGTCGGGTCTGCGGGCAAATGCTCGTCGCCTGCATAACGTTCATCGGCTTACAGTGCTGTCAAGTAGAGACATCTCTACCTTCGACAGACCACGCAAAGAACCACACGAGCAGCGGGTACACGTACGCATAGAGGAGCGCGTACGGCCACGACGCAGCGTGGTCGACGCGCATCGTGTTGGCTTGTCCACAACGTGGCGAGTTTTATTTTTTAACTTTAAATTGTAATTGTTTTATTGCCGTCCGGATAACATACAAAACCGAGGGACAATCCAACGGCAGATGCAGCTTCTGCTATATTATTTTACTGCGTAAGACGAGAAAGGGCAATCTCAATTTTGACAATAGCGTCAAGATCGTCAAGTACAATCGCTCCAAATTGTAAAGATCCCCGGAAAGATCCCTCGAATATGTTCGCTGGGATTAGGGAAATATTTTCGTTGTGTTTATAGAAATCATAGTACCGATACTAGAGACGAGTTAGCGACCAAACCGTGCTTGGAGCGCGCGGGTGTAGTTGAGACCACCGGGCTGCTCGGTGGCTAGCATCGCAGCATAGCTCGACGCAACGCGGTGGGCAAACGCCGCCGCCGACTCGTGCTGAAGCGGTTGCAGCGGTGGGCCAAACTTGAGCGTTGCTTTCACGGGCAGCGGAATGCTCGATCCAAAAGAGAAGAGCAGCCACAGCACTTGCTTGAGCTGCCAGAGGAACCAACCAATGCCAAGCGGTAGCGTCATGAGCGTATCGTAGACGCGCGAGAGACCCGAGACGTTGCTCAGGAAAAAGACGGGGCTAAAGCACATTTCTTGGGCGTTCTGCACGACGACGGGCACAATGACCCCGCCGGCTTGCAGGACGACCTCGGCAAACCCCGTCCGGTCGCGTCCCGACGCCGACTTCCTACAATAACGTTAGTGTTCTGCGCCGCCATGATGGGAACAAAACCAGTTGACGGTGTAGGCATTTTCAAACCCCGCGACGGCTTCTTCCACACCACCTGGTAGCACGAGGCAGGCGCGATGGCCACGCTGGTAGGCGTCGGCGGCATTAGCGCGCGTGCCCTCGACGCCGCCAAGGTACGACACCCACGGGCTGAGCGCCACGTAGGCCGAGTGCATGAGCCCAACTGGCGGCTCGCCCAAAGCATCCTTGATCGCCATCGCCATCATGAGGACGTCCCAGTTGTGTGTCGTGTGGTAGCCCACAAAAAGGATCTTCGTCGACGTGTCCTTGGGTAGATGCTCGTGCCCTACAGAAGTGACAGGACGACACGGCGTCTCTGCTGCATACCTTGGACTGTCCAGTCAAACCAGGTTACGAGGAGCGGGTAGAGGGACGTGTACAGCACGCGGTAGAGCCATGTCGACGCATAGTCCACGGGCTTGGCCATGTCGTCTTCAAGCCGCTTCTTCCGCTATACGACGCGGCTTCACGAGGGCCAATAAGGTGGCAAGACGTTACGACCCCATGCGAATGCCTTTCATGTATTTTGGCGATTGCATGGGATCGTAACGTCTTGCCAACGACAGTACTGCGGGTCCAGCCAATCGATCTGCGCCAGGGACGTGCCACGTCATGATTTCGTTTTGTGGTCGGATTCGATTCAAAAATTGACTGGATGGTTTCACGATCCAACTTGTTGAAATGCTACGTCATCACTCTACTTGGGTTGTCGTGACGGGGCCAACCGGGCTTGCACAGCCCGCGTGTAGTCGAGACCACCGGGGTTTTCGCGGTGCAGAAATTGTCGGTACGCTGTTTCGACGCGCCGGGCAAAGACCGCGGGGGACTCGGCCTTTCGTGGTCGCAACGCCTTGCCAACCTTGAGCGTTGCTTTCACCGGCATCGGGATACTTGTCGGGAACGTCAGCGTCATCCACAGAGCCAATTTGAGCTGGAGAAAGACCCACCCGACGCCGTAGGGCAAGGCGAGTAAATGATCGTACGCGCGTGAGAGCCCCGTGACGTTCACAAGGTAGAAGAGCGGGTTAAAGTACATTTCCTGGGCGTTCTGGACGACGACCGGGACGACGACGCACTTGGCGTCCATGGCGAGTTCGGCAAACCCCGTGCGCACGCGACCCGAAGACGATTTCCTAGTTATCCCATAAAACTGAGTTGCTGTTGCTCCCATCACATCCGGCGTACCAGTCGACCGTGTAGGCGTGTTCAAAGCCAGCGACCGCTTCTTCAGCACCGCCCGGGATCACCATGCACGCTCGGTGCCCGCGGTTGTACATCTCCAAAACGTTTTGCCGTGTGCCCTGGATCGCCCCGAGGAGGCGCAGCCACGGGTTGAGAGCCACGAGAGTCCTGTGCATGATACCGACAGGAGCTTCGTCGAGGACATCGCGGAGCGACATGCCCGTGAGGAGGAGGTCCCAATTGTGCGTCGTGTGGTAGCCGACAAAGAGGATCCGCGTCGCCTTGTCTTTTGGAATGTGCTCGTGTCCTAGTCGACGCGTCAATGTGGAGAATATCGTCTTTTGTGCTACCTTCAATGGACCATTGAAAGAGCACCGAGAGAAACGCGTAGAGAGTCGTGTAGACAAAGATGTAGAACGCGTTGGCCGAAAAGTCGACAAAGCCGGCCGAGCGCGCCATGCTCTCGACGTCGCCAATTGCACTTTGCCGAGAGGGTGTCGTCGAAACATTTCCGTGGGTGACACCCCATACTGAAATCCAGTCGCCAAATCACGAAACCTGGGACAAGCGCTCGATCTTCCAGCACTTTGCAGCAGAACTCTGTACGTACACGAAGACGGTAGAGACCCTACACAAGAGAGCGGCGACGCGCTGCTCGAATGCCGACATCGCTCAGTACTCGCACGTGCCGCGTACGACCGACCGGTAGACGGCAAGAACGACCGTGCCTTGAACGCCGTCCGCCAGCACAACCGGTTGACAGAAGGGATGCTGCTTGTCGAGACACGAATTTCGCACCATCAAGTCGTCTGCGCCACAACCAAATGCACAGCGTTGACGTCGTGCTTGCGAATATTGTCCTTGGTGTTTGAATCGCTTGTTCAGGCGAAACTACCACGACGATGGCCAGGAGCATGCGGTGATAACGTAGCGTCACGTCACTCTGGAGACCGTTCAGTGGACGTATGGAATAGCGTCCATCTCCAAGATGACGAAACGACCAGGTTTAACAGTCATCAACGGTTCAAGACACGGCAACCCGACGTCGCCATGCTGAGCGAGCAGATGTTATGTGCCATTAAACCCATGCAAAAGGCCATTCGCGAGGTCCATACACGCGGGTTGTGCGTCACCTCTTGGTGTCGATCGCCGTCCTTTCCACCAAGGGGATACTTTATTTTTCTTGTTCGCACATACAACTGACGATATGTACACGGGACTATTCCTTACGCTCCAGACGCCGTTGAATCTGTAGTTTGAGCCAAAACTTCGCTTTTCCTGCGCCGACCAATCCGCGCACGCTCGAAGTTCGAAGCAACGATGACCGACGTGGCAACGTCCGCAGATTTCTACCACCGGCGCCGACGACGATGGCCGACCGCTGGACGTGGGCCGCGCTGCTCATCGCGATCGTCTTGCGCACGCTATGGAAGTCGCGCTTTGAGGGCGTGATGGACTCGCCGTACTTGACGTACTTTGCCGACGACTACTTGGAGGCGCGGACGCGCTTCCGCTACGCAGCGACCCACGCCGGCGCCGAGCTGCACACGATTCCATACCCGGTCGACGATGCAGCGTACCCCGACCTCTCGATTGACGTGGCGATACTCCGCGGCAGTACCTCGCACCTCGTGCTGCATCTCTCGGGCACGCACGGCGTCGAGGGCTTTGCGGGCAGCGCGATCCAGTCGGCGTTTCTCGCCAACCTCTCAGCGCTGCCCGAGAACGAACATCGCCCGACGATCGTGCTCGTGCATGGCGTCAATCCATATGGCTTTGCGGCCCTCCGGCGCGTGAACGAGCACAACGTCGACTTGAACCGCAACTACTTGAGCGCGAGTGCGTTCGCCGCCAAGCGGGCGGCCGACCCGAACGCCCATGGGTACGCGGACCTCGAGCCCGCGCTCAACCCGCGCGAGCCTGTGCTGTTCCCGTTCCTCTTTTACCCGCGCATGCTGCAAGTCATCGCCACCATGGGCTACACGGCCGCGAAGCGCGCGGTTGTCTCGGGCAACTACCACTTTCCAAAGGGCTTGAGCTACGGCGGCCAGCACATCGAACCCAGCCACACGCTCTTACGCACGTTTGTCGCTGCACACGTTGACTTGGAGGCGGTCACGCATGCCGTGCTGCTCGACGTGCACACGGGGCTCGGTCCGTGCGGCGCCGATACCCTTGTCATCGGGTCGCGCGTGCTCGATGTGCCCACAGTGACCAGCACCCTCTTTCCCGACTATCAGGCGCCCGACAACAACGCAGCGTGGGCTGGCTACGATGCGACGACGGGCACCGCCGTGTCGGGCTACGAGACGTGGTTCTCGGAGGCTGCGCGCACGGTCACCGTCATGCAAGAGATGGGCACCGTCCAGTCGCTCGCCGTGCTGGCCGCCCTCCGCGCCGAGAACGCGGCCACGCATCACGACCCCGCAAATCGAAACATTGCCGCCGAGTCACTCCGCGATGTCTTCTACCTCCGCGACGACCCGCAGTGGCAGCACGACGTCGCATCCCGCGGCCTCACAGTGCTGCACCAGGCCATCGCCCACGTGGGTCTCCTCGGAGCCTAGTGTCTATGGCAGGATGCGCGATACTAGCTGCACCGTCTCGTTGGCAATACGAACACGCTGCCCAACACCGTCTCCTGTGCATTGGCTTCGCTCACATCGCAAGAACAGAATGCCGATCGTAGCATGAGCTGTGTGCCAGGATGCACTGGGTGTATGGCATGATGGGACCATAACGGGCTGAGCGCCAGGTAGAAGAAAGAGGCTAATGCATCTTTTCCCGGCGAAACGCGGCGTGACGACGTCGACGCACTGCCCAAGAAGGTTCCACGGCAGTACAGTCCTGTGTAGTATCGGAATACGATGGATGACGTGATCCACGACAACTTGTCCACACTTCTGACCCGATCCATCCATCTGCCAGACGCGACTCTGAAGGAGAAAGACGTGTATTGCCAATGGCACATATCGTGGAAATGCTGGCACTTACGGGCGAAGGCGTTTCTACACATACAGACAGTTGTGAGGAGTCCAGTCGACAATGCACCGACGTACCGGGTCACGCGGGAACATGGACGCCTTGCGGACGTTCTCGAGGCCGAGGAAGAGCATGACGACACGCTCGAGGCCGACGCCGCCGCCAGCGTGTGGCAACGCGCCGTACTTGAACGCATCGACGTACGTCTGGAGGTCGGCCTCGGGCACGCCGAGCGAGTTCATGCGCTCGACGAGGAGCGTCGGGTCGTGCACACGCTGGGCACCGCTCAAGATTTCCTGGCCGCGGATCATAAAATCGTACGAGTTGCTCCAGCGCTACATATGTCAAACTCAATCTCAATGTCAACAACCAGACTCGGCCTACCGAGTCGTTCGGGTCGGGCATCGTGTAGAACGGGCGCACGGCGAGCGGGAACTTGTCCAAAAAGTAAAAGTCCGTGTCGTACTTGGCCTTGACGAGGTCGCCGAGCGCCTTCTCGTTGGGCGTGCTACGTGGCAAGGTATCAATCTATCAGTATATCAAGTGAAAGACAAAACTACCTCAGATCCTCGAGCGGGTCCTGGTCAATGCCGGCAGCGTTGAGCATCGCAACGGCTTCGTCAAACTTGAGGATCAGCGTCGGGTTCGAGTACTTGAGCGGCTCGAACGGGTGCTGCTCGTTGATGATGGCGAGCTCACGCTTGAAGCGCGAGTTGAGGTTGTCAAAGACGTAGATGAAGAGCTCCGAGAAGACGTCCAAGCACTCCGAGTAGTGCTCCTTGATGGTCATCTCGAGATCCAACCCCGTGAATTCGCACAAGTGGCGGCGCGTGAACGAGTTCTCGGCGCGGAAGACAGGGCCAATCTCAAACACCTTTTCGAGGCCGGCGCACGCGCACGCCATCTGCTTGTGGAGCTGCGGCGACTGCGCGAGGACTGCGTGCTGGTCAAAGTACTTGAACGAGAAGCAGTTGGCACCGCCCTCGCTCGCACCGCCGAGGAGCTTGGGCGTGTGGATCTCCACAAAGCCCTTCGAGTAGAGGAACTCGCGGAAGAGCTGGCCGACACCCGACTGGATGCGCATGATGGCCTGGTTGGCCGGCGTGCGCAAGTCCAAGACGCTAACATGGTGTCGGATCAAGTCCGCAAACATCGAGAAAACACATACCGGTTGTCGAGGCGCGTGTCGAGGCCGACCTCGACGTAGTCGGAGCCCTCGGCGTTGAGGAGCGTGTCCGAGCGAGACGCATCTTCGATTTGCATCGGGAGCGACGTGAGCGCCTTGCTGATCGTAAACACCTTGGTGACTTCGAGCTCGACGTCCTTCTGCGTCGTCGAGTGGATCTCGACGGCCGCGACCTTGACCGTCACAAAGAGGTCGACGACCGACTCGCGCGGGATCTCATCGGCGTACTTGATCATGGCCTTGGGCACGTCCTTGCTCTACACCAAGCATGAGCACCCTACGCTACGACAGCAAAGCCGACGGACCTCGCTAAGGACACCCTGGATCGTAAACGCAGCCTGGCGAAGCACCAAGAACGCGATTTTCGGCTTGGCACGGACGTTCTGGAGGTAGCCGCGGACCCAGAAGGATTCGCCGGCCTTGGCCTTGTCAATGTCGCCGACACTACAGGTCGTTGTACGTCAGCATATGGACATGACAGAAAGGGGCAACGGACTCGACAAACTTCTTGGTCGGCGCCTCGCGCGACTGAATGAGCGGCGCGTCGCCAAACTTGGTCGGGTCGGCCGACGTGGCCTTGGCCGCAGCTTCCGCTTCCTACGCCCATCAATCCGTGAGATCATTGCGATGCAAAAAGCCGCGCCTACGGCCTGCTTCTGGCGCTCCAACAAGCGAAGCTCCTTTTTGGTGAGCTGCTTGGGCTTGGGCGCGGCCGCGGGGGCGCCGGGCGTCGTGCCATGGTCGTAGCCAGCAAGCGCCTTGAACTGGCCCTTGAGGTTCAGCAAGGCAGCGACGTGCTCCTTGACGTCTTGCTTGGCGGCCTTGAGCTCGCGGATCTCGGCGGCCTTGGCGGCGATCGCAGCGTCCAACGCGGGGATGTCCATTTTCGTGTGGCCAAAAATACAGACTGACGCCTCCACTCATCAGGCGCCGCCGGATCCGTTTCGGCATATGCCGCAATTAAATCTTGCGCAATATTAGTTTCGGCATGCCACACACCACGGGCCTCGACGCCGACACCACAAGAACATGGCGAAGTCAAGCCACAAGGAAATGCATTTTCGCATAAGCACGTGTACCTTGTTCGCTGCTTGTTCGATGCGCTCACTAAGTGGGTTGCACTGGGTTACGGTGCTGGGACGATGCACAACTTGTCTACGCACCATAATGACCAGCATTGCGTGGCAGTGTCCACACGTGGCACCACGAGCGAGCATTAAACCACCGCAAGAGTCATCAACGGTACCTGCATCAGTCGATGGACGGCAACCTTCATTCACTCGTCCCGGAAACGCAGCAGGAAGAACGGCAGTGAAGGAGATGATGGCGGTCTGCCTTGGCATATGCCATTTTTAATCGCTAAACTCGGCATGCCGCCTTTTTTGCCACATTTCACAGGTTGCTGTTCGGATATACCTCGTGTATCCGGATCGACGTTGGCCACAGGAAAACTCGCACCACGATGGACCCGGCGAAGCTCGAGGCCCAGCGCCAGCGCGCCGACGCGTACTTTAGCTCGACGCCGCCGCCATCGACGCTGCCCGAGATGGAGGCCGCGCTCGCCGACTTTGTCGCGCACCAGCAGACCATCGGGCGCACGGTGGCGATCGTGACGTCGGGCGGCACGACGATTCCGCTGGAGAAGAACACGGTGCGCTTCATCGACAACTTCTCGACGGGGTCGCGTGGCGCAGCCTCTGCCGAGTACGCTCTACAAAGGCCATGGCGGTACATGTGGCTCATGACGGCGTAGGTATCTCGTCAAGCTTGGGTACGCGGTCATCTTCCTGCACCGTCCGGGCTGCGTTATGCCGTTCGCCCGCCACTTTCAGGTGCGCCACCGTCCATGGTCCGTCTCAACGCGTCTTGTAGAAGGCCATGTCACACAACATGGACTTGAGCTTGCTCCAGCACATTGACGTGGCCAAAGGTACCGTCGCCATCATCCTCCATCTTCATCAGCATATGGGCAGATGGCAAGTCGATGGAGATTTCGAGCGACGACCGCGTCTCGCAGGCACGCTGCATTGACGCGCTCAAGAGCTACAAGCTAGCGATGCAGCAGACGATGCTGTGCCCGGTCGCCTTTGTCTCGGTCGACGAGTACTTCTTCGCGCTTCGCGCCATTGCCGGTGCTGTCAAGCCGCTCGGCGAGCGCGCCATGTTCTACTTGGCGGCGGCCGTGAGTGACTTCTACATCCCGGCCTCCGAGATGGTCGAGCACAAGATTCAATCGACACCGTCCCACGCCAACGACGCGTTGACGCTGACGCTGCAGCACGTACCCAAGCTCCTCGGGCTGCTCCGGTACGAGTGGGCGCCCGACGCCTTCTACGTCTCGTTCAAGGTACGTTGTTGGTACGATCCTGCATGTAAGTATAAGAAAAACGACTAGCTGGAGACGGACGTGACGATCTTGCGTCAGAAGGCGCAGAGCTCGATCGCCAACTACGGCATGCACCTCGTACGCTCTCTACCTTGTCGCATGCGCATACGATAGGGTATTGCAATTGTAGGTGATCGCAAATGAGCTCAAGACGCGCTTCCACCAAGTGTGGCTCATCACGCGCGATGGCGACAGCGTGCTCGAAAAGCCGGACGACGACCCGGACATTGAGCTCAGCCTGCTCAACGCCGTCGCCGACATGCACTTTGGCTTTCTCGCGCATCAACATGCGCAGCTTCCGCTGTCGCTGCCGCGTGCGACGGCCCTGCGCCTCCCCAAGCCGTGGGAAGCGCCGCTGCGCAGTGTGCAGGCGACACTGCAAGAGCACAAGGCCGAAATCGCCGGCGTCCTCCTCGGCGGCATGATCTCGGTCCTCATCAGCATGCTCCAGCGGCGAATGCTGTAGAATGGCCCGGGCACCGAGCTACAAAACACGTTTTGTTTAGATCACTCTAAGTCTTGTGTATGGGATTGATACGATCGTACCAGTGCATTCAACCGCCATGTCCTGGGGATAACGTTGGCCAGCGGCAAACTCGGGTACCTCGTCGACGACCGTCGCTTCCGTCGGCGCACGCACGCTGGGCATACGAGAGCTATGTAGCTCAACGCCCACAGTAGGTTTGGTGTCAACGTATCAGTAGCTTGGCCCGTCATCCTACCACGTTTGGGTGCTGAGCGGCTTCAACGCGGCAGATTCGACGTAAGTTGCCAGTATTGCTATGACGGGTTACGAGCAAGGTTCACTAAAATGTTGGTGTAGAAGCCTTGGCTAATGACGAAAAGTCCTAACGCAATCGCAGCACCTTCGCCAAACGATGATGATGGCTCGCGCCGAATCCCGTGCACTTCAACTTCGTCGTATCCGGACGCTATCCGAATGCCCCGGATTCGCCGGATACTGCGGGAACGGACACTTTATGACGAATTGGGCGCGGTTCGTCATCGACGCGCACAGACTGCCACGTTTTGAGCTCGATACCACGATCATGGCGCGACGAGCACCCAAGTAGCGCGACGACGCTGACATGCCGACCCATCTACCAACCAGCGTATCCTGGTGGTGGTGCTAGACAGTCCATACTTGCATTTCCTTCCTCATGGCGACTTGTGGGCCACGCACCGCGGACGCATTTCTGCAAGACGGCTCGGACGCCTTCCATGCGACATTGGCGGCGCAGCTCGAAGCGTCGCTCGGCAAGACACTGCCGCAGCTCGAGATTCGCTTCCAGGACCTTGCGATCGCCGCCGACGTCATCGTCGCGACCAAGGACGGCCACGAGCTCCCGACCTTGTTGAACGACGTCAAGAAGGGTGTGTTGGGTCTCTTTAGCGCCAAGCGCTCGATCCGCAAGGACATTCTGCACCCGATGACCGGCGTCTTCAAGCCGCGCACGACGACACTCGTGCTCGGTCAACCTGGCTCGGGCAAGTCGTCGCTCATGAAGCTCCTCTCGGGTCGCTTCCCGATGCAAAAGAACATTTCGGTGGGTGGTCACGTCACGTACAACGGCGCGGCGTCCGAGGTCGTCGGCAACAAGCTGCCGCAGTTTGCGTCGTACGTGAGCCAGCGCGACTTCAACTACCCGACCTTGACCGTCAAGGAGACGCTGGCCTTTGCCCACGCGTGCAGCGGTGGCGCGGCCGTGCCTCCCCGCGTCCTCGACTCGCTCGTGCATGGCTCGCCGGAAGAGAACGCGCAGGCGAAAGCTGTGATCCAGTCCTTGTACCACGTCTACCCGGACATTATCACGCGCCAGATGGGTCTCAAGATCTGCGAAGACACGATCGTCGGCAATGGCATGCTCCGCGGTGTCTCGGGCGGTGAGCGCAAACGCGTCACAGTCGGTGAGATGGAGTTTGGCATGAAGCAGGTGTCGTTCATGGACGAGATCAGCACGGGTCTCGACTCGGCGGCGACGTTCGACATTGTCAAGGCACAGAAAGGCATGGCCGCGTCGCTCAAGAAGACGATTGTGATTGCGCTGCTGCAGCCGTCGCCCGAAGTCTACAACCTCTTCGACGACGTCCTCCTCCTCAACGAAGGCCACGTCATGTACCACGGTCCACGCGCCTTGTGTTTGCAGTATTTCGAGTCGCTCGGCTTCAAGTGCCCGTTGCACCGCGACGTAGCCGACTTTCTCCTCGACCTCGGTACGCCCGAGCAAGACCAGTACCTCGTGTCCAACAGCGTGTACGCGCGCACGCCGCGCCTCCCGAGCGAGTACGCGGAGCTCTTCAAGAAGTCACCGGTCTACGCATCAATGGTGGCGCACCTGGCGACGCCGACGGACCCGGAGCTGGTCAACGACGCCACCTCCCACCTCGCGGCGCTGCCAGCGTATTACTTGACGTTTGGCGCCGGCACGTGGCAGCTCTTCCAGCGTCAAGCCAAGGTCTTTTTGCGGAACCGAGAATTTCTGTGGAGCCGCGCCATCATGATCGTCGTCATGAGTCTCTTGTACTCGTCCAACTACTACGACGTGGCGCCGGACGAGGTCGTGACGGTGCTCGGTGTCATCTTTGTCGCCGTCCTCTTCCTCGCCCTCGGTCAGTTTCCGATGCTCCCCTCGGTCCTCGAAGCGCGCGACATCTTTTACAAGCAGGAGCGCGCCCAGTTCTTCACAACGTCGTCGTTTCTCGTAGCCCACGCGCTCACGCAGCTGCCGCTGTGCTTCCTGGAGACCCTCGTGTTTGGCTCGGTCATGTACTGGATCACGGGCTTTGTCTCGGACGTGTGGGCGTTCCTTATCTACGTGCTACACCTGTTTCTGGTCAACGTTGCCTTCTCGACGTGGTTCTTCTTCATGGGCGTTGTCTCGCCCGACTTGAACGTCGCGCAGCCGCTCTCGATGATGACGATCTTGGTGTACGTCATTTTCGCGGGCTTCGTCATGGCGTCGTCCGACATGCCCGACTACTTTATCTGGCTCTACTGGATCGACCCACTCAGCTGGTGCATCCGCGCTTTGGCCATCAATCAGTACTCGGCGTCCGAGTTCCAAGTCCCAGTCTACAACCACATTGAGTACAAGCAGCTCAAAGGCGATACGTTTGGTAACGTCATGCTTCAGACTTTTGGCCTCAAGACCGACCGCGTCTGGATCTGGTATGGCGTCGTGTACCTGGTCTGCTGCTACTTTGTGTTCCTCGGTCTCTCGTACTTCGCGCTACGCTACATTCGATTTGATGCGATGCCTGCGACGGCTGTCGTCGACGCCACCGGCGACGATGCGTACGTTGAGGCGCCCAAGACGCCAGCCCACTCGGTTGCCATCGCCGTCTCGACACGAACAATTGCGCCCGTGACACTGGCCTTCCAAGACCTCTGGTACTCGGTGCCCAACCCGACCAAGGGTGAGCCCGACCTCCAGCTGCTCAAGGGCATCAACGGCTACGCTCTTCCCGGTACGATCACGGCGCTCATGGGTTCGTCCGGCGCGGGCAAGACCACCTTGATGGACGTCATTGCCGGTCGCAAGACGGGTGGCAAGATCGAAGGCAACATCCTCTTGAACGGGTACCCGGCCACGGACCTCGCGATTCGGCGGTCGACGGGCTACTGCGAGCAGATGGACATCCACAGCGAGAGCGCGACGTTCCGCGAGGCGTTCCAGTTCAGCGCGATGCTCCGCCAGTCGGACGACATCCCGACCGAAGAGAAGATGGCGTTTGCGGAAGAGTGCTTGGAGCTCCTTGACATGAAGGCCCTCGGCGACAAGATCATTCGTGGCGCCTCGGTCGAGCAGATGAAGCGCCTGACGATCGGTGTCGAGCTCGCAGCGGCGCCGTCCGTGCTCTTCCTCGATGAACCGACGTCCGGTCTTGACGCTCGCTCGGCCAAGATCATCATGACGGGCATCCGCAAGATCGCGTCGACGGGCCGCACGGTCGTCTGCACGATCCACCAGCCGTCAACCGAGGTGTTTGAGATGTTTGACTCGCTCCTCCTCCTCAAGCGCGGTGGCGAGACCGTCTTCTTTGGCGACCTCGGCGCGAAAGCGAGCCACTTGATCGAGTACTTTACGTCGATTCCCGACACGCCGGTGCTCTCGGACGACGCCAACCCCGCGACGTGGATGCTCGAAGTCATCGGCGCCGGCGTCGAGGCCAAGAACGCGCACCCGAAGGACTATGTCGAGATCTTCAACGCATCGGAGGAGCGCCGGTTGCTGGCCGAGGCGCTTGCGATCCACGCCAACGTCCATCCGTCGTTGCCCGAGCTCACGTTTGCCAACAAGCGCGCGGCGTCGTCCATGACGCAGTTTACGATGGTGACGCAGCGCTTCTTCCGCATGTACTGGCGCACGCCGTCGTACAACAACACGCGCATCTTCATCTCGGTCTTCCTCGCCGTCCTCTTTGGTTTGGTCTACCGCGGCGTCGACTACACGACGTTCTCGGGCGCGACCGGCGGCGTCGGCATGATCTTCCTCACGTCCTTCTTCCTCAGCCTCATTTCCTTTGCAAGTGTAATTCCGCTTGCGGGCAAGGAGCGTGCGTCGTTCTACCGCGAGCGCGCGTCGCAGACGTACAACGCACTCTGGTACTTTGTCGCATCGACGCTCGCCGAGATCCCGTACGTGTTTCTTTCGACCTTTGCGTTTACGATCATCTACTACCCGTTCGTCGGACTCAACGAGTCGGTGAGCGCGTGCGTCTACTACGGCTTCAACCTCTCGCTCATGGTCTTGATGAACGTCTACATGGGCCAGTTGATGGCGTACGCGATGCCGTCGATCGAGGTCGCGACGCTTTCCGGAATCCTCTTCAACTCGATTTTTGTCTTGTTTGTGGGCTATACGCCACCGGCATCCCAGATCCCATCGGGCTATCACTGGCTGTACACGATCACGCCGCTGCGGTACTCGGTGTCGATCCTCACGGCGCAGACATTCTCCAAGTGCAATGACGGCAGCGGGCTCGGGTGCGAGGCCATGAAGAATGTGCCGCCGAGTGTTCTCGCGAGCGTTGGCGCGCCCAGCATCAGCGTCAAGGCGTACATTGAGCTGACGTACAAGATGTACTACGACGACGCACTCCGGGACATCCTCGTCGTACTTGGCTGCATTGTCCTCTTCCGCGTCCTAGCCCTCGTCTCGCTACGCTACGTCAACCACACCAAGCGATAAAGTGTACGACACGAAAAGCGTAGGTATGACGCATGACGTTGAGTGTGATACAACAACATATATTTTGATCTGAAATAATGCATCGATGCTAAGTTCGTAGCCATCTCGTTTTCATCGTCGGCAACAAGCTGCCGCAGTTTGCGTCGTACGTGAGCCAGCGCGACTTCAACTACCCGACCTTGACCGTCAAGGAGACGCTGGCCTTTGCGCACGCGTGCAGCGGTGGCACGGCCGTGCCTCCCCGCGTCCTCGACTCGCTCGTGCATGGCTCGCCGGAAGAGAACGCGCAGGCGAAAGCTGTGATCCAGTCCTTGTACCACGTCTACCCGGACATTATCACGCGCCAGATGGGTCTCAAGATCTGCGAAGACACGATCGTCGGCAATGGCATGCTCCGCGGTGTCTCGGGCGGTGAGCGCAAGCGCGTCACAGTCGGTGAGATGGAGTTTGGCATGAAGCAGGTGTCGTTCATGGACGAGATCAGCACGGGTCTCGACTCGGCGGCCACGTTCGACATTGTCAAGGCGCAGAAAGGCATGGCCGCGTCGCTCAAGAAGACGATTGTGATTGCGTTGCTGCAGCCGTCGCCTGAAGTCTACAACCTCTTTGACGACGTCCTCCTCCTCAACGAAGGCCACGTCATGTACCACGGTCCACGCGCCTTGTGTTTGCAGTATTTCGAGTCGCTCGGGTTCAAGTGCCCGTTGCACCGCGACGTGGCCGACTTTCTCCTCGACCTCGGTACGCCCGAGCAAGACCAGTACCTCGTGTCCAACAGCGTGTACGCGCGCACGCCGCGCCTCCCGAGCGAGTACGCGGAGCTCTTCAAGGAGTCGCAGATCTACGGCGCCATGGTCGGTCACTTGGCGACGCCGACGGACCCGGAGCTTGTGAAGGACGCGACGTCGCACCTCGCGGCGCTGCCGGCGTACCACGTGCCGTTCGGGTCGAGCACCAAGGCGCTCGTCCAGCGTCAAGTGGCGGTGTTTTTGCGCAACAAGGAGTTTGTCGTTAGCCGCATCATCATGGTGCTGGTCATGGGGTTTCTCTACTCGACGTCGTTCTACCAAGTCAACGTCGACCAGATCGTGACGGTGCTCGGTGTCATCTTCACCACGGTGCTCTTCCTCGCGCTCGGGCAGCTGCCGACGATCCCCGCGATCGTCGAAGCGCGTGAGATCTTTTACAAGCAAAAGGCCGCCAACTTTTTCCGGACGTCGTCGTTCATTCTCGCGCAGTGCACGACGCAGATCCCGTTTGCGCTGCTGGAGACGGTCCTCTTTGGCTCGGTCATGTACTGGGTCACGGGCTTCACCTCGGACGTCGGCGCGTTCCTGACGTACCTCCTCCTCTTGTTTGTGACCAACCTCGCGTTCACGACGTGGTTCTTCTTCCTCGCGTCGATATCGCCCAACCTCAACGTCGCGCAGCCCGTCTCGATGGTCTCGGTGCTCTTCTACGTGCTCTTCTCGGGCTTCATCATGTCGTCATCCGACATGCCCGACTACTTTGTGTGGATCTACTGGATCGACCCGCTCGCGTGGTGCATCCGCGCCTTGGCCATCAACCAGTACGCGGCGTCCGAGTTTCAAAAATGCGAGTACAAGGGCATCGACTACTGCGCGCGCACGGGCGAGACCTTTGGCAACGCGCAGCTGCAGCAGTTTGGCCTCAAGACCGACACGGTCTGGATCTGGTACGCGGTGCTCTACCTCGCCGTGTGCTACGTCTTTTTCATGCTCCTCGCCTACGTCGCGCTCGAGTACGTCCAGTACGACACGGCCGAGCACTCGGTGGTCGTGGACGATGGCGACGACGACCAAAACGTGTGGCGCGACACGGACGGCAACAAGGCGACCAACGTGTACGTCGAGGCGCCCAAGACGCCGGCCAATGCAGTGGCTGTCACGGTGGCCAGCCACCGGTCGGTGACACCCGTGACGCTGGCCTTTGAAGACCTCTGGTACTCGGTGCCCAACCCGACCAAAGGTGAGCCCGACCTCCAGCTGCTCAAGGGCATCAACGGCTACGCGCTTCCCGGTACGATCACGGCGCTCATGGGTTCGTCCGGCGCGGGCAAGACCACCTTGATGGACGTCATTGCCGGACGCAAGACGGGTGGCAAGATCGAAGGCAACATCCTCTTGAACGGGTACCCGGCCACGGACCTCGCGATTCGGCGGTCGACGGGCTACTGCGAGCAGATGGACATCCACAGCGAGAGCGCGACGTTCCGCGAGGCGTTCCAGTTCAGCGCGATGCTCCGCCAGTCGGACGAGATCCCGACCGAAGAGAAGATGGCGTTTGCGGAAGAGTGCTTGGAGCTCCTCGACATGAAGAACCTCGGCGACAAGATCATTCGTGGCGCCTCGGTCGAGCAGATGAAGCGCCTGACGATCGGTGTCGAGCTCGCAGCGGCGCCGTCCGTGCTCTTCCTCGATGAACCGACGTCCGGTCTTGACGCTCGCTCGGCCAAGATCATCATGACGGGCATCCGCAAGATCGCGTCGACGGGCCGCACGGTCGTCTGCACGATCCACCAGCCGTCAACCGAGGTGTTTGAGATGTTTGACTCGCTCCTCCTCCTCAAGCGCGGTGGCGAGACCGTCTTCTTTGGCGACCTCGGCGCGAAAGCGAGCCACTTGATCGAGTACTTTACGTCGATTCCCGACACGCCGGTGCTCTCGGACGACGCCAACCCCGCGACGTGGATGCTCGAAGTCATCGGCGCCGGCGTCGAGGCCAAGAACGCGCACCCGAAGGACTATGTCGAGATCTTCAACGCATCGGAGGAGCGCCGGTTGCTGGCCGAGGCGCTTGCGATCCACGCCAACGTCCATCCATCGTTGCCCGAGCTCACGTTTGCCAACAAGCGCGCGGCGTCGTCCATGACGCAGTTTACGATGGTGACGCAGCGCTTCTTCCGCATGTACTGGCGCACGCCGTCGTACAACAACACGCGCATCTTCATCTCGATCTTCCTCGCCGTCCTCTTTGGTTTGGTCTACCGCGGCGTCGACTACACGACGTTCTCGGGCGCGACCGGCGGCGTCGGCATGATCTTCCTCACCTCGCTCTTTGTCGGCATGATCTCGTTCAACAGCGTCATTCCGCTCGCGGGCGAAGAACGCGCGTCGTTCTACCGCGAGCGCGCCTCGCAGACGTACAACGCGCTCTGGTACTTTGTCGGCTCGACGCTCGCCGAGATCCCGTACGTGTTTGTGACGACGTTCATCTTTACGATCATCTACTACCCGTTCGTCGGTCTCAACGAGTCGGTGGGCGCGTGCGTCTACTACGGCTTCAACCTCTCGCTCATGGTCTTGATGAACGTCTACATGGGCCAGTTGATGGCGTACGCGATGCCGTCGATCGAGGTCGCGGCGCTCGTCGGCATCCTCTTCAACTCGATCTTCTTCCTCTTCATGGGCTTTACGCCGACCGCGTCGCAGATCCCGAGCGGGTACCGCTGGCTGTACACGATCGTGCCGCCCAAGTACTCGATGGCGATTCTGACGTCGCAGACGTTTGCGAAATGCACGGGCGACAAGACGCAGCTCGGGTGCCAAACGATGAAGAACGTGCCGCCGAGCATCCTCCAGCAAATGAACGCGAGCAGCATCAGCGTCAAGGAGTACATTGAGTTTACGTACGAGATGTACTACGACGACGCGCTCTTGGACATTCTCGTCGTGCTGGGCTGCATCATCTTCTTCCGCGTCCTTGCGATGCTCGCGCTGCGCTACATCAACCACACCAAGCGGTAAACAGATAGAAACTATGTACATAAAACACACATTTTTATATCGCAAAAGGAAATGTCGATGGCCGTAGGTGGTACCGCGTCTCAAGTAGTACGAATCGTTTATTGACCCATGCTTGGACGCACAGCAAGTCCGTCGCTGCTTGGCTGCTGCCAAGAGGACCGAGCGTTGGTTGTTGGCTTATCGCCTGGGAAGGATGATGTGTTTGTCCACTGTCTTTCTCAACAACCCACAACAGCACACTCCGAACGTCAATTCTACAACCCGCACACTGGCTGCGGAACCTCCTCGAGGCTGGTCATTTGCCAATTGGCTTGATCATGTCAGTGCCGCCGACGGCGTACGCCATCGCTGGAGCTTACGCTTTTCATTTCCTTTGTATCGGATGCGGCGCCTGGCAAATGGGAAGTTCGCTCGCTGAGAAGTCTACGGGGAAGGACGGAGCGCTTGTGCGTCCGCTCAAAGCGACCGCTGCTGGGATCATGACGTATGGCGCGCTTCACCTCACTGGTGACGCTGCTTTGCGTCGGTTCAAGCCTCAAACGCAATTGGGCGAAGTCGTTTTCCTGACGGTCAAGTACAATGTCTCCCAAACCATCTTGGCTGGTGCCCTCATTGCGGGCGTCTATGTCTTTCGTGTCGTGGGCACGAACATCGATCCCGAGTCGACAAGGACGAGCATGACGCGCAGTTCAGAAGACTCGTAATCGCGAATATCAAGTCCGTCTACTTTGCCGTCGATTGAAACAGCAAGTTGATGAAATACTATGTCCCTCGAGAGCCTTCCATGTGAGCGACCGCAAATATAGAGCCTGCAACTAGAGTGAAGTCTTTTATGGGGACGAGAACAACGCTTTAACCGACGAGATGATATATCACGGCCAAACAGTCGCCGCCGGCGCGCCACAACCAGCGTTAGTTGGGCAATGCGGTTGTTTGCAGTCGATTGGTTGATGCAATATGTTGTGGGCATCGTCGATGACGATGGTATCGTGCGTGGAAAAGACGTCGCTCTGTCATTTCGACTCGTACCCGGTGGCTTGCAGTGGGTGCTCCAACGTCGCCAGGAGTCGAATAAGCAAAACGTCCGACCCGCATAACGATACTGTAGCACGTCGACGTTGCACCGCGAGATTGCTGGCCGTGTGCAGAGCGTTGGTGGTGGTGGCTCCATCGGGCGTGAAAAATGACGGTCCTCCCTTTTGCTTTTTCTCAGCAACCGACAACACACAAATGCAACAACCAGCACACTCCAAACGTCCATTCTACAACCCGCACACTGGCTGCGGAACCTCCCCGAGGCTGGTCATTTGCCAATTGTCGAGATCATGTCAGTGCCGCCGACGGCGTACGCCATCTTTGGAGCCGTTTCGATCCTGCCGGCTCTTTGTATTGGGCAAGGCGCCTGGCAAATGGGACGTTCGCTCGCTGAGAAGTCTACGGGGAAGGACGCAGCGCTTGTGCGTCCGTTCGAAGGCCTCTTTGCTGGGATCACGACTATTGGCGCGCTTCACCTCACTGGTGACGCTGCTTTGCGTCGGTTCAAGCCTCAAACAGTAATGAGCGAGGCCATTCTCTCTGCGAGCAAACCCTACGCCTCTCAAACCATCACGGCCGGTGCTATCATTGCGGGCGTCTATGTCTTTCACGTCGTGGGCGCATTATCCTTTGCCGAGTCGACAAGTAGTAGCATGGCGAGCAGTTCGAATGATTAGATACTAGTAACTGCTAAAGTCAAGTCCACAGTTTGTCCATTGAAACCGGAAGGTGCTTGGAGACCAGTGTTTCTCGGTAGCCTTTACGGATTGAACGCTACGCGGGTTGTGGCGCGCCGGTAGCAACTGTAGCAACCCTTTGGCCATGAGAGAGTCATGCCGTCGTATGTGTTGTTGGGTTCTTCTGCTGTTTTGGGAGGACAAATAGCTCTAGCTAAGGTTACTTGGAGAGCGCGGCAACAGCTCCTGCGCGACTCGTTACGAGCCCGGTGTCACCACCGTATCGGCTCTGGTTCGTGGTCTTCCACCTCAGCTCCTTTGTCGGCTTTTTCACGGCAGTCGTCTCGTTGCCTCATCCCGAAACTCTACATTGCTGCACCAGTGTCGAAGAGTTCGAGCACACAGTATCGGTTGTCGTCTCAGTAAAGATTAGGATGATGGATGTGGCTGTTCTCCACAACCCGCGCACACTGCTCGTTGAACTTTGTGGCGACTCATTTGTCGATTGTCTGGGTCATGCCACTGCCGCTGACGACGCGAACCCTACTCGCCACAGCCCGCGTCGGATCTGCGCTCCTGCCGTCGATTTGCATCGGGGTCGGCGCCACGCAGATCGGCTATTCGCTTGCGATGAAGGTTACTGGCAAGAACACAGCGTTTGTGCGTCCGCTCGAAGGCCTCCTTGCTGGGATCGCGACGTTTGGCGGGTGCAAAATCGCCAGCGACTCTGCTCTGCGCCGGTTCACGCCTCCAACGCCCACAGGCGAGTTTATACTCTTTTTGGCCAAGCATTACCACACCATCTTTGCTGGGGCCGTTATTGCCGGCATGTTTGCCTTTCACGTCGTGGGCGCAATGCCCGTTCCGGAGTCGACAAGCAGTAGCACGGTGAGCAGTTCGGACGACTAGATACTAGTAATGCGAATGCCAAGTCCAAGTACAGCCATGTGTCGTTGACGTTTCTGTTGATTGAGTCTGACCAGCAAACGGCTTGCAAACTTGTATGCATGCAGTAGCTCGTAGTAGCAGCACACACACAGGGACGGTTGCGCTGCGTGTGTAGAGAGTTGACTGTTCGCCCATCCACTTTGGAGAATGATGCTCAGTATTTGGCTTTTCCCAACAACCGACAGCCCACAACCCGCACAACCGATAAACAATATGTGAATCAAATACAACAACCAACACTCCTAACGTCAATTCTACAACCCGCACACTGGCTGCGGAACCTCCTCGAGGCTGGTCATTTGCCAATTGTCGAGATCATGCCACTGCCGCCGACGACGTACGCCATCATTGGAGCCTCTACGATCCTGCCGTCCCTTTGTATCGGATACGGCGCCGGTCTGATTGGAAAGTCACTCGCTGAGAAGTCTACGGGCAGGGACGCAGTGATTGTGCGTCCGCTCGACGCGGTGTTATTTGGGATCACAGCGTTTGTCGGGTGCAAAATCACTGGTGACGCTGCTTTGCGACGGTTCACACCTCGCACGCCAACGGCTGAAGCGATTTTCTCGGTGGTCAAGCCCAACGTCTCCCAAACCATCTTTGTTGGTGCTCTCATAGCGGGCGCATATGTCTTTCACGTCGTGGGCGCAATGCCCGTTCGGGCGTCGACAAGTAGTAGCATGGCGACCAGTTCGAAAGATTAGATCATAGCAAGACCATAAACTTACAAGTATGTTTATCCTCTCCTCGTTATACGTTGATGGCCTTGATCGTAGTAATTGCGCATGTCAAGTCCACAGTTGTCATTTCTGTCCTTTGAAACCGAAAGGTGTCCCTATAGTCTGTACGAATTGAACGGTACGGGGGTTGTGGCGCGCTGGTAGCGACCTTTTGGCCGTGATACAATCATCTCGTGGAATGTGCTGCTCGGTTGGTCGAGTCAGTGCGTCCCGGAAAAGACAAATGGCTCAAGCTGCAAAGAGCGTGCGTTCAATCCTGCAACTCCCATCGCTGCCTCCCTTGTGAAGCCTACCGACTACACCTGTGTACTCCAGCCAAACATTTACATTCTTGATCAAGTCAAATCAAAGCGCGGATGACGAGCGTACCAAGTATCCTTTCCCGCAGGATTCGCAGCCTAGCGTCTCTCAATTCTGTAGGAATCGTCGATCGTACATGCCAAAACGACCATGCAACCATATTCTTCCACACACAATGGTGTGTACACTTGTATATATAAAGCTGTGCAATTAGCAGTAGGTTCTAGCGTCCAATACGACGACTACGGACAGCCCGAGCCACCGGCGACGACCAAGCAAGATGTTTCATCAAACATTGAGAGCACGCTCACGACGACCGAAAAGACAAGCGACGCCGCCATACCGGCCGCGACGAGGCCGCCAACGAGTGGCTGGTACCCGCCGTAGGCCTTCAGATCGTACACAGCCTCCTTTTGCGGTGGGAGCAGCACGACCCAGAAGCACGCAACGACAGTCGTGCCATAGTAGATAGCGTACGTCGCTGCGACTTGATTGCGCGTCGCGTCCGAGTCGGCCGCGATCGCTTCTTTCGAGACGTCAAACGCCTTGAAAATGATGTTGGCGAGGAGCGGGCCAAACGCGGTGGGGAGATTGTTGACCGTCGTGAGAAGCCCGTACGTCACGGCTTCGTTGCCGACTTCGGCGAGCTCGACAATGACAAACGTGGTCACGATGAATTGCATTGCGTAGGGGAGTTGCTCGGCCAAAGGCACGCCGAGGTAGAACCACTGGTTCCGAATGCCATTGTAGATGGTGAGGTACTGGACGACGGCGTCGATCGCGTTCATGAGAAGCGTCGTTGTCACAATGACAAGCCGCCAGTTCCACTGGGTGCCCCAGCGCCCGGTCGCTGCGAGCGCGCCGGCAAAGAGCAAGTTGCTCAAGATCGTCATGAGCTGAATGTTGATGTTCTCGACGCCGGCCCACGTGAGCTTGACGTACGGTGCGGCCGTCGACGTGATGCCGGACGCAAAGAGGTTGAAGAAAAAGTTGAAGAGCATGACCTGCCACGTCGCGCGCTGGATGAGGAGCCGCCAAAACTGATCCAAGTAGTCGCGAAATGGGACGCGCGGCAGCGGTGTGTCGACAATGAAAAAGTACGTGATCGGCACCATGGCCGCGCACGGCAGCGCCAGGAGCACAAAGAGCGTCCGGAGACCCATGTCCCACGAGAACGTGCCGCCGTACGCCGGCGAGTTGAGCGCGACACCAATGACGATTTGAGCAATCACCGACGCGACCGTCCGCGTCGTGTACACCAACGACTGCATGCGCCCACGCGTGGCCTCGGGCTCGCGCTGGGCGAGTTCGACCACGAGCGCGTCGGACGGCACGTCGGCAATGATGTAGCAGAATGTGGCGAGGCCAAAGATGATGGCCATCATCGAGCCTCGGCGCTGCGCATCGGGATGCACGTACGCGGCTTTCTCCGCCGGCGTGAGCGTTTGGACGTCGCGCCGCGCGAGGTTTGGGTTGTCAATGTAGGGTGGGCCGTGGTTCTGGAAGGCGAGCGCAAGCATGCAGCCGAGGCAAAGTGTCCAGCCGATCATCATCCACGACTTGCGCCGGTAGCCGCAAATGGGCACGCAGTCCGAGAGCATGCCCACAAAGACCTTGAGCGACCACCCGATCGAGAGGAGCGCGGTCATTGCGTTGAAGCGCGCGCCGCTGAGGCGAAAGTACGCCGTGAAGAGCGGGTATGAGAGGCTCGGGAGCGCGCCGTAGAGCAGCCCGACGCACACGTACTGCGCGAGGAGGCCCACGACCGGCGCGCTCGTGTAGACAGGCGGGCCGCCCGGCCGCAGCGCGCCGTCTTCGAGCGGTGGCGCCACGGGCGACTTGACGCTCTCGTAGCCTTCTTCGCTCACTTCGTAGCGACTGCTTCTGCGCTGCTGCTCGGCCCGGCTGAGGAGCATCGTCGGATCTTCTTGCCGCGGAGAGAGCTCTGATCGGACTGGCTCGTCGCCTGCGAATGATACCTCGTTTTTCACACGCGTGTTTTTGCGTGTTTTTTACAAATCCCACCACACACCGGTGGAACTTCAACAAGAGAAGCGACTGAAGAAGAAACCACGCTGCCGGGTACACGCTGTTCCTGGTGGCTGATATCGTACGAGCTCTACTATTCACAGAGCCCACGAAGGGCGGTGATGGCTCCTTGAACCCCCCCTCGCCCTGCATTTCTGGGTCGTGGGGCATACTGTCGCCATCACGGGCGTCGGAGTCTCAACGCGCCAACGGCAATTTCGCCAATCTCACGCGATTCTCACATGGGTTCGCCGTCGTTGATGCTGAACAGATTCACCGCCCATGGTGATAGCAGCATGACGTGAAAAGGCAGGCTCCGAATGTACGGTATCGATGCGTGCGTTTTAGCCCCGCCGTGGTGTCTGTCGATTTAACGTTAAATTTTGGGAATCAAACCTCGAGTATTTGACGTGTGGTGTTGTGTTGTAGAAGAGGATGGTTTTTGCCGACGCTGGGTTGTGACGCTCGGCAGAAGCCCCAATGGAGCTGCACGGTAGGAGCGTTGGTGTCCCGCACGTCATCATGATCGGACCAATCTGGTCGCAAGCACCTGCGGCATGTGGGACGACCCGTCACGAGAGAAGAAACAAGTTGATGGATTCACCGTGCGACGGCAGCCACATCCACAATTCATGTATCCAAGCTCACGTCCATCCTACGAAGAAGCAAAATTTGAGCGTACCTACGAGTAAGTACCCGGACAATCGAGCCCGTTCCAGCATGCAAGGCGTGGTGCACGGTAACCGTAGAGTAAAAACGTAGGCTTCGTTTGCACAAACAAGGTAAATGGAAGTTCAAGATAATTGCTGTACAGAAACGCGCGTATAACTCGATACTCGCATCCCATGGTCCCTGGGCCCTGGACCTGTATATGTCATGCGAAAGCCAGTGGCGCGCCTCGTGACGGGATATTCTCGGGCGACTGGGCGGCCCACAGGGTGACGATCGTGGTTGCTTGGTTTTGGGCGTTTCACATTCAATGACGTGGCAGCGGGATATGCTCGATAGAGGCCAAGGCTCCAAGTGCCACCATGCTGCCAACACCTTGCCGCAAACTGAGATGAGGACACCTCCGAGCCACACCATGTCGCGAAGCCAGACACGCGTGTATAGCATACATTGCTTGGAAAAGACGCCAACAGTGGGCAACACTGCAATCAAGAGCCCTACACCCTAGCGGCCTACTCCTAGCCGCCCGTCGCATCCCCTTGCTATTGTTCCACGCTCTTACCCTGTGTGCGCACCCCAAAGGTCCAGACGATGTTGATCGCCTCGTCAGCAAA